CGCCGTCGCGCCGCTGATCGTCCCGTCGAGGTTCCCGTCGCTGTCCTCGGCGGCCGTGCCGTCGTCAAAGGAGTAGTGCGCGAGCAGCGTCGAGTGGGACACGTGCGTCGGCCGCGGCGTCGCCGTCGGAGCGAACGTCGGCGCCGGCACGGGCGCGGCCGTCGGCGCGGGCGTCGGGCTCGGGTCGCAGTCCCGGCCGTCCGCGCTCGGCTGCCAGCCGTCGGCGCACGCGGTGATCTCGGAGCAGTAGTCGATCTTGTGCCGCGTGAAAAGCGTGCCGCTCGTGCCGTCGCCGTCGCACACGTAGCACGAGTCCTCCTTCGAGTTGTAGTACATGGTCGTGCCGCCGCAGCCCGGCACGCCGTCGTTCTCGTACAAGTTCTCGCGGCAGACCTCCCGGGAGCCGCTCCCGGTCCCCATGTCGAGGCATTGGTCGTCGCACTCCTGGGTGCCGGTCTGTTCCCAGGTGCAGGCGGTGATCTTCGTCAGGTCCGCGCCGCAGCCCGCGACGAGCAGCGCCAGCGGGAGCAGGCGGCGCGCCTCGAAACGCCCACGGACCACGCAGCCCATGGTGGCAGGCGACGCCAGCCCGCGCACCATCATCGGCAAACTGCGAGCGTCGGGCAACTTTGAGCGGCCGATAGATGCCGAAAGATGCCGAATGGGTATTCGGTCAATGTCAGGTGTGCATCCCCTTCAATAACTAGATCAGGCCGAAGCTGACGTGAGCTATCGCCCGCCCCTGGCGCGCGCGCGTGGACCGCACGCCCATCTAGCACCGGTCGCCCATCGACCCCGACGTCTCCGCGTCGTCCCTCGAGTTATCGATGACCCAGGTGGACGCCTAGGTGGGAGGCAGCTAATTACCACCTACTTCAACTTCTTCCGTCCGAGACGATATCGGCCGCATGTGCTCTTGGGCATGCGGCTTCTCCGACGCTAAATACATAATAATAATAATAATAATTACCTGAGGCTCGCTCGGCGAGCGACTCTCGTGGACTCGCTCCGGAGTCTGAGGCGTATCGTCGCACCCGAGGTCGGGTGCGTCCCCCCCATGACGGCCCAGGCCATGATTCCGCCGCCGCCCCCGGACGACTCGGGGCGGGTCCCGGCCGCGGCACTCGACTCCGGCGACGACGCGTCGGTGTCGGACCGGTCGGCGTCGCCCCCGGCCCTGGACCGCTTCGGGTGCGAGGTCTGCGACGAGACGCCGGACAACTTCACGGCGCCGGGCTACCCGACCGTGGCCGAGGAGAAGCTCTTCCGGCGCCGGGAGAACCGCTCCTGCGACGCGCCGACGCGCCACTCGCTCGGCAAGCGGCGCCGCGCCGCCGAGGACGACCTCGCCGCGCCGCCGCGGAAGGCGTCGCCGCCCATCGTGCCGACCTACGCGGCGCCGGCGCGCGACGCGTCGTCGTCGGACGGCGGCGCC